CATCCTCCATGTCCTCTCTTCCAGCTCTTGGGGAGCGGATCGATGTTCTGTGCTCAGGATCTATTGTGCTCTGATTCGATCCAAACTTTACTATAGGTCTTTGGTCTATGGTTCTGCCAGGACCATGGCCTTGAAGATGCTGGACCCCATTCACCATCTGGGGCTTCGGCTCTGCACCGGGGCTTTTCTCACTTCTCCAGTCCAGAGTTTGTACACTGAGTCCCATGAACCTCCTCTTCACATCCGTCATTTGCAACTTTCTTTACAATATGCTACCAGCTTCAGTCCTTACCACAGCATCCCACCTGGGATTGTGTCTTTCTTCCTCAGTGGGCAATGCTCTTTCAGAACAGACGGTTTGCTATTCTTCCCTTTGGCCTTCGTATCCAGGCACAACTGGCTGAATTGGGTCTGGCATTAGATGACATTGCTGTCCCCAATGATCAGCCCATTCTGCCATGGCTTATTACCATCCCTTCCTGTGACCTTTCCTTAAGTCATCTGATGAAGGCAGATACTCCTGATTGGAAGTACCGTCTTCTTTTTGCTGAACATCTTTCGAGTCATTCTTCTCTTCCTATTTACACGGATGGTTTGAAATCGGGTGACTCTGTAGGTTCTGCCATGGTGTGCTGTGGCTCGGTAGTTGCTCGCAGGATCCCCTCTACAGTTTCTGTGTTCACAGCCGAGTTGTATGCTATTTCTCTTGCCCTGGATCATGTAGAAGCTATGCAGTACAGTAATTGTACTATTTACATTGATTCTCTTAGCTCTCTACTGGCCCTGGAATCGTTTAATGCTAGTTCTCACCCTGTTCTCATCGATATTCAACACCGATTGGCCCACTTTTCTCTATCTTCTGCTTTCATCCAGTTTTTTGTATACCCGGCCACGTTGGTATTCACAGGAATGAGCTCAGTGACACTGCAGCTAAGTCCATCTGCTCTGGTGCCATCATGGCCGTGCCTGTCCCATACATGGATTATGGTCCTGTCTTCAAGGCACGGCTTCGTGCCAGTTGGCAGTCAACTTGGGGGTGACCAACGTCATAACAAGCTTTTCCAGATCAAACCTTCTGTTGGTCTTTGGCCATTTTCCTTCCATAAGGATTGGAAGGAGGAAGCTGTCATGGCAAGGCTATGCATTGGTCACAGTTTTTTAACCCATTATTTTCTTTTATCCGGTATTGACCCACCAATGTGTAGCCATTGTGACTCTCAAATCACAATAGCCCACATTTTACTGTTGTGCTGTAGTTACGACCATGAGCGGTGGCAACATTTTAGACACGCATTTTCTAAGAGTTTACCCCTGACGTTGGACAGTGTCATTGGTAATGGTGACACTGTCCGACTAGATTGTATTTTTAATCTTTTATGCACCATAGGTCTTTTTAATTGTATATAAATCTTTTATCGACATATTTTGGTTTTAACTTGCTGTATTTTTACATTTTATTCTAATTTGCTTTCACTGTTTTTACTGGTTGTTTGGCACAGATAGCCTTGTTGCTTTGCGCCATAAAGCACCAAACAAACAAACAGCACCTTACTGTTGTCTTTTTTTATGTAGAAATACTTTCAATTCAAAAATTTTTTTTAAACACAGGTGGTTTATATCAACATTGTCACCTGCAAAATGACCTTGTCCAAGTTTATGTAGAAGAATTATTAAATGAGGAAGAAGAGAAAGAAATAAAATGTAAATCAGTAAGTATAACATTATGTTACAAGAAGAAAATCTTTATTTTTAATGTTTTTATTTTATTAATACAAGTTCATGAATGAGGGAATTAAAAACATCTTTCTGATAATATGATTGAGCTTACATCAAAAATCTAGGTAGGAAGTAGGGAATTAAAAAATCTTTGATACTGAGTGAAGGAAATTGCAACACCAGTACACATGTAAGAATGACCTAAGTAACTGTAACTGTTCTAATTTGGATATTGTCTATATATCTTTTCTTACCAGTGGTTTTATGTACAATAGTAAAACCTTTTTAAGGTTACTAAATGAAATTGATTAACCCTGAAGTTACTCATTTGGCTTTACGTGTTGCATTATATTTGGAAATTTTATGTTTTTGACAAAAAAATTTGGTGAAGTAATACATAGAACAGTCTACCAGCAATTAGTTTTACTAATTAGAATATTGAATGATATTTTTGTTTCAATTTTTTTTAAAACACTTGTGTTAGTATGGTTAGTGTAATCAACAAAGTCATGAACCAAAAAGTACCCCCCCCCTCTGTGGCTCAGTAGTAAGTCTGAAGGCTTATACCCCTTAAGACCATGTTTTCTTACCCATGTTTAGTTTTCTGCTTAACAATAAACAAACAAACCAAAAGGAATTTAGTGCAAAAATTGTTTGAATAGGTTATGGATCACATATAGACTCCACCAGCAATTTTAGTTTAAAAAAAAATTTTAATGTGGATTTTACATTTAAACCTTTTTTTCCTACTATGAGTAGTAAGTGAAATTGTTGGATGGCTCACACAATATTGGATAAGCTGTGATTCAACTTAGTTAAAACATGTGTGTGTGAACTTTTTGTTACTAATGCAAATATGAATAACTGTTTTGTTAGTCAGCAATATAGCTGTGGTAGGGTGAGCTGAGAGCTGATATTCATCACACTAATCTTCGTTTTCTAGGTAGACGTACGTAGGTTGAAACATTAATCCTGAACCTCTTTCTACCTTAGAAATGAAAGTAAACATGATTATATATCACTTTTTCACGAAGAATATCTTAATTTTCTGACATAAGACTGAAAATGTGCTGCAGTTTTATTTACATAATTTTTTAGACATTTTTTTTTGTTTTGATGCACACTTGCCTTTTGGATTGAAAACTGTTTTTTGGAGGGTCTCAATACCATTTTTTTAGTAGATCTATTAAGTAAACTTGTTGGGAAAAAGAAAACCTTTCTGATTGTTAGCTTTCAAGAAAATCTAATTACTTGTGTTTGCTAGGTTATTCAGTATTAGCAAAAAATCCAATGTGATCACTATTCATTGTTAAGAATTCTAATATATGTTTTTAAGGAAAGTACATCTATTGTGGATGTAGAGCAGCCAGGCAGCTGTAGATACTTTTTTCAAATACCTCATGGGTTTGAAGCTACTTCACAGGAAAAAGTATCTCTTCAAAGGATGTAAGTTTTTCATTTTGTCCAAAAAAGAACATTTTGTAGTAAAGCAAATAGGCAGAGAAAATAAAGTGTGTAATAATTTGTATCAACTAAGTGTAGAAGGAGTATTTCATTGTGGGAGCTCATAAGGGACATATCATGAGAACTTAATACAATTGTCTTTCTAATATTGCTGCTTTTGATATGAAATAAAAATAATGTTCTTAAAAAAAATAAAGTTTAAAACTACCATTTTTCTTCTACTATGTTTATTTAGAAATGTCAAACCTCACAATAAATCTACTTGATAACTGTTGGTTGTTTTACATAGCTTAAAAACTAATAAACAATTCTACTGTTTATTTTTTGTCCTATGGAAAATATGTGATACAGCTACCCACCTGTCAAGAGATTTGAGCAACCAAGTAAAGTGTTTTTCACTTCAAAACCGAAATTTAGACTACACCTTAATCAAGATTTCCATTTACATAATTATATCTAAATATTCAATAATCTGTGTCTATATCTGCTTTTGCATCAGTACTTTCCAGCTCAACTGCAGAAGAACTTAAGTAATTATGTTTAGAGAAATTTCTTTTTGAAGGGCACTAGTTGGATAGATGTATAATAGAGTAGTTCTTATTTGCAGGTAAAATTTCAGGTTAAAAATTCTAAAACTTTCACCCCCTAATTTTGTTCCAATGTACAAAGAAAAAACATTAATTTCCAAATTTCATCTATTTTTTAACCACACTTCAAGGTTTTTCTCAATAAGGTTGAAATTCTAAACTATGGTGGCCTGGTACCATATGTACCGTGTGATGTAAAAACATATTTGTTATTTATTATAAATGATTTACTTAAAGTATATTAGTTTGTTGCATGTATATTAGTATAATTACATAATTGTATGATTTTAGTGTAGTCAGTCTGTATTTGCATTTTTAATGTTTTCTTTTTGCTGTTAGAAAAGTGTCAACTATGATCTTGCACAACTTGAAGGAGGAATTGTTTCTTTTTTCTTTCTATGTTGTGATGGAATTATCTCCTCAGTAAGGACTACACCCATTTTAGCATTGAGAGTTACCACATTCAAGTGTTGAAATGTTTGTAGTGTCTCTCTGTAGTCCTCTCTAAGCTCCCATGACTCAGGGTCATAATTCAGAAACCCAAGTGGAATTTCTGATATGATATCTTACCTCCTTTAACAAAAAGCTTTCTTGTCTTACACTGCCATCTATTGGCACACATTTTTGCTCGCCACTAGCCTTGATACTCCCACTTATTTCTGCCTACTCACATGCCTACTTCACAACTCTTCAAATACACGAAGCAATAAAAATCCTACAGCAAACTCCCATAATCAACAAACAATTGACAGGAACAGCACGCACACTGCTACTTCTTGGCGAGAAACCCCCAAGCCACAATACAACACTCCACCAATTAATGCCTTCCACAAGCTAGATACCACCACCTTCTTACCCATACCTATAAATATCCACCAACAGTAATCACAATTCACACAACATTCAGCCTTGATAATGGATGCAGAACGCATTCGAAACGCATCAGCCAACTCATCACTAGCTACAGCTTTTACCCGTTGTTCTAACAACGTTAAGACGGCTTATCGACTTCTTGAGAAGAATTCTAAGAAGAAAGTAAACCTACAGACACCGGTCTTGTTTAACAAAATCTGCCTACAAGAAAATCCGTCACCAAAGTACACCAACATGCAAATGACTAAACAGCAACCCTCATTGATGCTGCAACTGTTAACCACTTTCTCGGTTTGATTCACTTATCCACAAGTTTTTAGTTTCTTAACTTTTGTACTACAATTACATTGTTCTTTACTGTTTTTGTTCTCTTTTATGGAGAGTTACGAATTATTTATCTTCTCTCCTCTTTCACTTTTGTGAGTTACGCACTCACAGTTTCAGGTGGTCATGACTAAATGCTGCAGTGGAATTAACAACTGTATCCAACAGGCTGGAACCATGATTCTCAACCCATGAAGTGACAGCTCTGGTCCTTTGGGAGTTCACCAATACTCAGAACACACTGATAATTGTCCTATCATGGATTTCAGTGATTATGAAGTTTTGGATTTGTACAGCTTTTTTCCCCTCTCCTTTATAGGCCTCTCAGTCGTGTGTTGTTTCAGGAGACTTGTCCAGATCTCTTTTCTCCCTTGGTGTATTTGATTATTCAGGTGTGTTATGTCTTTATCTCCTCTTTCCTTTCTCCCCCTGTCCTTCTTGAGAACTAGTCTTTGGGTCATTATTTAGTGTATTGGGGTTTATGCAATTAATTTTGGGGAGCATTTGCATTTGAGGGTTAGTATGCCTCGACCTCCATGAACTGTAGAAGATCATACTTTTGGTTATCATTCCGACTTCCCTTATTTGGAATTGCGGCATTAGGTGTTGCTTCTCCTTTAGTGGGGATTGTACCCCAATAATTCAATTACCTTTTCCTATATTTGTCTTACTCTGCCACCCCTTCTTAGATCAGGTCTAGTGGGGGCCAGACTCCCTCAATTTGCCTACGTTTGGTAGTCTTTGATAGTCGATCCATGGATTCTGAAAGTCAGTTCATAAGTTTGGCCCTCCACTTCTATTCATCTCCCCCTTTGTCTAACAATCCAGTATCCTTCCTTTCTCCTCGGGATCCTTTTTTTGTCTTCCAAATTCATTTCAGGGGCCTTTGTTTCCACCATTCTATGGATGTGTAGCTTCTTCTTGTCTTCTCACAAGACGACTCAGTCCTACATCCTTAGTTGCTTCTCCAGGACATTGTCCTGGTGGCTTGGCTTGTCAAAATGGAGCAATTTTTCCTCACCTCCACACAATTTTTGGGTTCATCTAGGGGTGTTTTTAAACTCTCTCCTCTGTTGGGCCCTATCTGCTCCACTTCAATTGCGAGCTATGGAATGCCTCATATGCAGCATCTCATCCTCTCCTTCTAATGCACAAGAGGTTCTCTCTCTTATGGGGACTTGGGTTTCTCTCTAATCTCTCATTCCTCTTGGTTGTGCCCTCATGTATCATCGTCAGTGGGTTTTGATAGACCAATGGAGCCTAGTTCAGGATCCCTTAAATGCCCCTCATACCCTTCCCCTTCAGACCAATTTTGACTGGTGGTTGGATCAAGACAATACTATTCTAGGTATTACTCCTCCTTGTTCTTAATATCACCTTTTACGGATGCTTCTTTTTCCAGTTGAAGGGTGTATTTTGCCACTCAGGAGGTTTTGGGGTGACGGTATCCTTCTGAAACCTCTCTACATAACAATCATTAGGCTTTCCTTCATTTTTTGCAGTCTCCTAGGGCCAGGTTGGTGATGGTTTACTCCAACTTTTCTATGATAGGCTTGTTCATCACTGGGCAAGGGACATTCGGCAAACATACCCCTGTTTTCTCAAATTGAATATTCTGTGTTGGGCCCACTGCTGTCCCATCACTTTGTTGTATGTCATAATCTGGGTGCCCTGAATCTAATCATGGATTGGTTATCGCAACAACATTCTCCCTGTGGTTTGGTCTTCGGATCTACTCATTTTTCAGGTTTTGTGTGCTATGTGGGATGTCCTAGATTTGGGTGTTTTTGCCTCTCTTCTCACTACTCCACTCCCTCGATTTTGGTCTTCTGTTCCTCATCCTCTGGTGAGAACAGTCGATGCTCTCAGTCTAGATTGGTTCAGATGGTACCTATAAACATATCCTCCTAGTTGTCTCTTCCCATATGTCCTTGCTATTCTTCACACCACTTTTGGTCTGTCCTAAGGGGTTATAGTCCTTTCCATCCTATGGTTCCTCACATACTGTCCTTTTTGCCTTGGATTTTTGAATGGGGCCTTTTACTTTTCATTGTTGTGGACTACAGGGTAGCATTATCTGCCACTTTTTAGTTTACTGACTTTGCTTGTGTTTTCCAGTTGCCAGTCTTATCCATGTTGTTTCATTTCATATGTTTTTTCCGTCCTTCCTACCCTGCTTCCCTTCTAGATTAGCACCTCTGTGTGGTCCTCCATTGGTACTTTTAGCTTTGTGATCTTTATATCACCTTTCTTGAAGTCCCTGTTCCTGCTGTTGTTGGTGTGTGAATATTGTCATTCTTATGTGTTCATGATTGATGTCGCCGTGTTTTTATTTTCTTTGTTCCTTTTTTCTTTTCTTTCCTACTCATTCCTTTATGTCCAAGACTTCGGCTGCTTGAGATGGTACTTTTTACCCTCCCACCTTTATAACTTTGAATCCTGTCTTCCTTCTTTGCAAGGTCAGGGTTCTCTAATAGCAAATGACATGTACTGCTCTCTTCCACGGTTCCCAAGTCTGTTTGTTTCTTCTGTAAGATCCTTACCTCTCCTATGACCTTTTTCCCATCACCCTTCCGGGTTGAATTCACCAGGTAATTTGCTTGGTGTTTTCTTCTCTTTTCTTCTAATAATTGTTGCTTTTTTCATGTGTACTTCCCATCAGATCTGTCACCTTCCCTTGTCCCTGGCTGCACATTTCCATCTTCCCTTGGGGGACATCATCAGTGCTGTAACTGTTTATCTGTTTTGCATGACCAGGTATACTTATTCTTAAATCTTTACTGTATGATCATGCTAGATTACTGTGACGTCCAGACTCTTCTTCTGCGGACCAGATGTACAGTTCCAGATGCTGCCTGATGTTGGTTTGTTGACTCCCTCAACATGTTCTCTATGCTTTCAAATTACAATATCATAACACATATACAAGTTATCTTACACCCATTGTTGAGATGGGGTGTTCCACAGGACCACTCTTAGGTATACCTCATGGTCTTTTGCTTTATAAATATATTTGTCTCGGGCCGTACACTAGTAACCAACATGAGTAAAGCAGACAGGGGTTACCACCCATCTCTGATGATCCCTGGCATTTGAGGTTCTTCCTACTACAAACCTGATGTACAATTCCAGATGCCAACAGGTTTTGGACTGGAGATGCAACCCTAAATAGTGGTCCCTCTTCCTACCATTCACTGGATGTTGGTTCCTGGTGGATCTAATGTTGGTTGTAGCTGGATGAGACACATGAATTCCTGCATATGTAAGGCTGGGGACCATCTTCCTACTATAGACTGGATGAAAAATTCCCAATGCCACCTGGTTTTGGACCAGAATAAAACACCCATATGATCTCTCCTCCTTCCTACCATCTACCAGATGTCAGTTCCTGGTTGATCTGGTGTTACTTGTGTTGGAGGTGCAGACATGTAGATACGGGTTCTTGGTACAGACGTTCATTTTCCCTGCAGACACTTTGTTTGAGGTGAAAGGTAGAAAACCCTCTTCCTACTGTGGACCTGATGTACAATTCCAGATGCCACCAGGTGTTGGTTGAGGTCAAACTCCCATTTACAGTCTATTGCACCCCAGCCACTCTACACTAGGGAGTTCCCATTATTTCTGTAATTTTTTTTCTTGGGGTCCCTTTATGTTTCTGTCCTTTTTGGCAACAGATTACGCAAGATGAAGAGTATACCTAGATCAGAAATGGTGCAGCTACCACAGATGTGTTGTTTTCGAATTCCTTCTCACACCCCACAGTTTTCCTTTTGGTGCTTCTTAAAGGGGGAATAATCTTCTCACTGGCCCTCCACCAGTTCAGTGTGGTATTCCAGCTTTTTCTGAGAGGAGGTAAGATACTGTATCAGAAGTTAAAATTTTCCTAAACTGAAAATTTACTTTCGCAGATACTTACTTAGTGTGGTTTGGTTTGATCTGACAAAGTGGTTAACATGTGCAAGATTAGAGAGGGCTCCAGTTAAGATAGGGGTGGCTTTACACTTTTATTGGTGGTGGGTTGCTGCATAGTCATTTGCAAAAATAAGTGGAAGTATCAAGGCTGTGTCAAGCAAATATTTGCACTGATAGAGGACAGTGTAAGTTGAGAAGGCTTTTTATGAGAGGAGGTATCTATTGAAAATACATTTTCAGTTTAGGAAAATGTTAACTTAGAAGCACCTGAAGAAATCTGTTATGTTCTTTGTCTTGAAATCTTCAACTGACATGGTTTTTAAAGAATATAATTCATCTTTATTATACCTAACAAAACATTGTAGGAAGTTTAGATCATTGCTAGGAGCAGTAAACCATAACTTAAGATAGAATTGAACAACAAAGATGTAGATATCATTGAGTACTGTTTTCCTCGTGGCCAGTGATCAAATCAGTTCCATAAACATCCAGATCTAGAGGGTGTATAATGCCTTGGCTATCCATCATGCATGATGCAGTACTCCAGATGCTGTTAACTCTCTCTACACAGGCTTGGTTGAATTGACTGACCACGTGACCACTTTGTCCTCATTTAAAGTCATTATAGTTTTGTTGCCATTAGCTTTTAATATAGTATGTGAATCTCCACAAAATTTAGCAGACTTTCAGAAAATATTACAAGTCTTTTACATATAAAAAAGTGATTTTCATGTTAAGATTAAAAATACTTTTCTTCATCTCAAAAATCTCTAATTTTATTTGCATAATCTCTAAAACCTCCTAAATACATTTCAAACGTTTTTTTTTCAGGAAAACTTTATATTTTATCTGTTATTTTCTGTACCCTAACTTTATACAAGATTGGTCAATTTGACCAATCTTGTAACCACCAATAAAAATTTAAATAAATCTAAATTACCCCTTTTTTTTTCTAGAATAACTTAAAATTGTAATATTTGTTTATCCAAAGTATACATAACAGTATACATCTATTTATACTTAAATTTTGTTGTTTTATTGACCTACTGTTCATGCCATTACAAATTGAAAATCACTTGGGGAACATGGGAATCGTGTTATGGTATCGAATTACGTTACCCACAAGCTACTCTGTGCTACTCGCGTGTGTGCCTCATGAAATATTTTTGTTATATTATTATTATTTATTTTGCCTAATCTAACCTTAACTAACCTAAAGAGATTCCTATTTTTAACAGTTTAGTTACTTATATAATATCAAATAAAGAATACACATGAACAACAAGAAACAAAGTACTTACCTGGACCTTCTTTTTTTGATATTGACTGTCAATGAACCCTACTTTTTTTATATTAATGGTAGTAGTGCACTAAATAATTTTTACTTACATAATGCACCAAAGAACATAAAATAATAACATACAAAAAACAGACAATGTCCCATAACTAGCACAATTTTTCTGGCTTTCTAACTATGTGACAAGAGCCATTACAAATTCATCAAAGCTAGTCAATATGTTTCTCAATGGAATGAAGCTTGTACAAAAAAAGAAATTGACAACTTTCTGTTCAGAACATTGTGATATAACACATCATTTGAGGTTTAATTTTTAATTTTTTTTTATTTCTAACCTTCACTAAGCTCCAGTATATCATTTCTTCCATTTATTCCAGTGTGACATGTGGAAGAAAGAGGAAGAGAGAAGTTTTGAAAACTGAAGAACTAAAAGAAGTAAGTTTCAAATCTGCTCCACAAAAAAAAAAGTTTAAAGTCTTAAAAAGCAACTTTCAAGTCTAAACTAAGCATTACAACAAAGATTAACAGCTCTGCATCATTACCTTCTCTATTAGAAAAATAATAAATTTATTTACACAAAATCAAGAATGTTGAGAAAGACAGGAGTAGCTGTCATGATTCTCTAGTTTCTAATGAAGGGTTAAATTTAAAATGGCAACAATACAAAGATCTGAAGCCTGCTACAATTAAAATATTCCAAGTACCAAAGGAGAAAGAAAGTAAAATTGAAAAACCTGAAGACTTGTTTAATCATACTTCAAACTGTTACTCCATCTCAGTTTCAGAAAATCTTAAAATGGAAAAATGACTGAAAAAAAAGACATTCCAAAAAAGACTCAAAAAGATACAGATGTCAACACAAAACTTCCATCTTATAAACTACCAACAATTTTATTAACATTAAATTTTGAGCATCTTCATCATCTACCATCATCTACTTAACTCTTTCAGCACAGGCTCTGTCCCTGGGACTGACCTCATAACCATTTTGTACTTGTTATAGTTTTCATGCTTTTAGATTAAAAATACTTTTGTGCATCAGAAAATTTTCAAATTTCACATGCAAAATCTTTATAATGTCCAGATAGTTATCAAATGTAGAAAAAACTTTATATTTTATCTGTTATTTTTACTAACAAATCTCTGTAGGGGTTTGGTCGATTTGACTGATCTCTTAACACCGTTAAAAATTAGGAAATAAATATAAATTATGCCTTTTTCGTTATAAAATGACTACAAATTATAAATG